TAAATAGATGGATAAAACCGGAACTTTTTTGGTATCTTTTTTTTAATTTCATTTAAACGGCTGTAACGATTTTCTTTAAATTTTAAACATATGGTGTGATAGTCTATATTGTTTCCCAAAGAGAAAAATGCATGCTGAAGCCATTAAAACCCTTAAACAGAAAAGTTATTCAAATCGTCATAGGTTACATGCTACAATTTCATCAAATTATCTTGCATTGCGCCTGTAGCGTGCGCATAATGTTTACATGGACAGTTAGACAGACAGACAGACAGATAGTCGGACGGACATAGCTAAATCGACTCAGAATGTGATTTTGAACCGATTGTTATACTTTAAACATACATCAGCACAAACACGTAATAAATAAATAGATGGATAAAACCGGAACGTTTTTGGTATCTTTTTTTTAATTTCATTTAAACGGCTGTAACGATTTTCTTTAAATTTGAAACATATGGTGTGATAGTCTATATTGTTTCCCAAAGCTTGGATAAGAAGGAATAAGAAGGGGTATATGGATGAAAAATGGACAAAATTCGTACTTCTGGGCGTAAATACTAATTACTGTATATACTCAAGCAAAAATATTTCGGATTAAGCTTTTAAAGTGTCTGAAATATGTATTAGCAAAGTTCCGTTTCGAAAGTTTGACAAAAAATAAGAGAAAAGGCGAAAAAAAACTGGAAAAAATTTTACTTCTATGTTTAAGTCTGATTTTTTCGTTCTAAAGTAAAAATATTTAAGACGATGCGTTTTTAGTTTCAGAGATGTGTACATTCGAAAGTCAACCCTAGAGGGAAAAACAGGAAAAAAAATGAAATTATAGTCGGGCGTTTAGCGGTTCAGTTGTATGGCGGCTAGGTGAAATAATGGACTGAACGTAACCATTTTCAATAGGCTTCGTCACTGGGACAATAGATGATCATGTACCAAATTTCATTGAATTATCCTTAAAATTGCGACCTGTAGTTTGATTACAAGGTTTACATATTTGTTCAATTCACAATCAAGTTGTATATTGTACCTACTAAAGTGTAGTAACAGTGATTGTGAACAGATCTTTGCAGCAAGTCATAAGTTTATGTTCTCAATGAAAAAAAACAAAACAATCAAAACAAATATACATAACAATGTCAAAAGATAAAAAAGTCAAAAAATATTAAACTAATTAAACATGCGAAATGAACCAAATTAATTTCTTTGAATTTTCAATTTTTTTATTTTCTTTATTCCACATTTTATACAAATAAATAAACAGTTTTTAATTAAATTTTAGCTCTTTTTTTTTTTTTTTTTTTTTCGATGTCTGTCATTAATGACAGGGTTGGTCGAGTATATTGTTCTACTCATATACCAGGGCTAGTTTTCTCACGATTGCGTGTATTTTAAGAGGCAGTTGTTTCTGTGTGTATGTTTTCTTTGTTTGAGTGACAAGTGTTATAGTTTTATGTTGGCAACATCAATAAACTTTAGAAGCTCCATCAAGTCATTTATTTCAAATTTCGATAGAATTTGGTGCATGTTGTTGAATTTTTGGAATAATTTAAATTGTAGTCTGATGTCGTTGTACTTGGTACATGTAAAAATAAGATGGCCTGTATCTTCAATTACATTGCATGAATCACAGATGTCCGATGATTCTATTGACATGCGTTTAAGAAAAACTTTGGATTTCGTGTGTCCAGTTAGTAGACGGTTTAGCAGTTTGATCTTGTGAGGGGGTAGGTGCACATTATGAAACCATGGTTTCCTGGGTGGAGTAGGGAAAATGCTAGCAAAAAAATTACCCGTTTTCCGCGACATTTTTCTGTAGTCATCAATCCATTCTTCCCATAAGATGTTGTAAATTGATCTTGAGCAATCCTTTAAGGAGGGAATTGTTGTTATATCCATACCGGCATTGGTGGCAGCTTTTGCGAAGTAGTCAGCTGTTTCATTAGGTTTAATGCCCACATGTGAGGGGGTCCATATTAAACAGATTTCCGAAATTAAGGACTTATCGACTTTATTGAGAATTGTGTTTACTAAGTCATTTTGGGACGTATTTTTTTTAAGTAATAAGCAAGCATTGCGGCTGTCAGTAAGAATGGCAGCTTTTTCCATACCTTCCTCAATTATAATGTCTATGGCTTTATCAATAGCGTGAAGTTCACCTGTCAGTGATGAAACTTTTCCTCCAATTGTAAACAGAAAATTGTGATTGCAAGAAATGTTGCACGCAGCACAACCTGTAGTGTTTGAGCCAACCGAGGCATCAGTAGCCCAGATACAGAAACCTTCACCCTTTAATTGATCTATACATTCAGTGTATATAGCATTTAGTACCTCTTTTGGTGTATCATTTTTTCCGGCTTGAAGTAAGTCAACTTTAATATTAATTTTGGAAGAGGAATTATTTCTGGAGAGTGGATTCAGTGAGTCAAAGATGTCCTTAAATTTCGTATATATGAATCCCCAGCTGGATTTTCGTGATGGGTGTTTTGTGATCTGATTATATAATGTACAGGACGTTACCTTAACACGGAGAAGTTCCTTGGCAGCCAAATATTGGGCACGTTGTTTAGGAGGCATAATCGCAGATAAGGCATAGATTGCCTGAACCGGAGTTGTTCTTGTTAAACCTAAACAAGTTCGTAAGAGCTGATTCTGAAATGACATTAATTTGGCATTTATGTAGTTGGGCGCATGTGCCATTGAGGATATTGCGTATTGAGCTTTTGAAAATACCAACGTTTTGGTTAGTTTGACGGTAGTTTGAGGAGTCATCGAGGATTTTGCTGATGAGGCCATTTTGACCGCATTTATTGCCGGTTTACATTTTATTAATACTTCCTGGTAGTGTTCCTTTAGAGATAGACTGTTCTTAATATGTCTGCCTAGAAATTTTAGGGATTTGACATTAGCAACTGGTGTGTTTTGAATCTTTATCTTTGGTTCTAGTCTAGCTCCCTTGGCCACATACATGACCATGGTTTTTTCCGAGTTGTATGTAAGATTGAGTTGTTTAAGCATAGAATAAAACTGATTGGCTTTATTCTGCAAATTATCACAAGCTGCACTAAATTCCTTATTGTTTGAAACCATTATGAAATCATCGGCAAATTGAAAGAGATGTGTGTTATTATTAGTGATGTTATGTAACTCCTTGGTGTAAATATTAAATAGAGTCGGACTTAAACAGCTTCCTTGGGGTATCCCATTAGAAATTTCAATTTTTTCATCACCCAGTACAAGATATCGCCGTTCCAAAAATTTTATGATCCAATTAGTCATGTGAATTGGAAAGTTATCATTCATCAGAATTTGGCTAAGACGGTTTATATCAACACAATCATATGCCTTCGAAATATCCAGAGATAAAACAATTACCTTTTCCCCCCTTTCCTTTGCGGAAGTTATCGTGTGCAGTAAATCATTAATACAAGTCGACGCAGACCGCCCCTTCCTGTACGCATATGTTCTTAAAGGTAGAATGTTGTTAGCATTCAGAAACTCTTCAAGGCGAGATTTAATCATTAAGTTAATTACCTTCAAAAATACCGATAGTAAAGCAATTGGTCTAAAATTGGTGAAATTGTTTAGGTCCTTGTCCCTTTTGGGTATAGGGACAATTTTGATAGATCTCCACTCTTCAACTAGATGGCATTTTTCCCATTGAAGGTTAAGTGCATTTAAAATCACAGATTTTGCCGTAATCGGGAGTTTTCTTAACATTTCGTATGATATGTTGTCTAAACCTGCCGCAGATGGTTTTTTCTTAGCCTCCAGGGTGTTGAGAAATTCATCCATAGAAAATTTGGGGGCTGGGGAGGTGCTGATCGGAATAAATGGGATGGTGGAGATATTAGTAACTTGAGCTTTGAGATGTTCCAGAAATTTCCCATCGTTTTCCCTGGACCATTTGGTAGTAGACATATTCGCTGAATAATTTGTACACCCTTTCAAAAATTTGTACAAAGATTTAGAGTTGGGAGATTCACAGAGAGTACTGATTTTATTTGAAAAAGATTCTTGTTTTGCCTTTTTTACTCCATTTTTAAAGTTTTTGATTGCCAGAATTAAGTTTTCCGCATTTGTAGCGGACTTGCATGAATTAAAAGATCCTTGAGCTGCTTGTTTTAGCCGATATAGTTTCTCCACTTTCTCATCCCACCATACTTTTGGGGTCTTGTTGGGTTTGGTTTTATATGTAGACTTTTTGATAGCTTCGGATATTTTTTTATTAATATCTTCAAAATTTGGCATGAAATTAGTATTGTTTAGGTTTTCTGCTAGTTTACGTTTAGAGAGAAATTTTGGGAAGTCCAGTATATTGTTTTGTAGTGAAATTAAAATCGGGTAGTGGTGACTCCCACCGATATGTGAGTTTATTGTTTTCCATGAAAAAGGCATAGGTGATGATGTGAACGACAAGTCAAGTACCGATCCATTGGATAGGTCAAATTTAGATTTCCTGAAAGTGACACTTCCATCATTAAGTAGTCGGAAAGAAGAAGATAATAGTAATTCATTTAAAATCGTACCACGTGAGGAGTCATTGGGATCATTAAAATGTCGAGATCGAGCATTAAAATCGCCACAAAGGAGAACGTCCTGTCTATTTTCCAAAAATGTTAGTAGTCTCTCCATTTCTGTCTTGAATTGGTGTGTTCTAATAGAATGAGGGAAATATGATGAGACGATGGTGAGGTTGTTTTTTAGATTTAGAGTCTTACAGATTAGTATATCCAGTGGGGTATTAAACGGAATTTGTTTGACCTTAATATTTTTCGTGAATGCAATGGCAACACCACCGTAGTTGTCACTCCTTTTCCTTACATATAGGTTATAATTTTGTAAAAAGGTAAAACTGTTGCGTTCATCGAAGTTAAAGATTTCTGAAAGAATACAAATATCAATTTGAAGTTTGTTAAGTGAGATTTCCAAAAAGTTCTTGTTTTTGTTTATACTTTGTATGTTATATTGTAGAATGTTCATAATTTTGGCTGCTTGAGGACGAAAATAAAATGTGTAGAATTGAGATTGCTTGTTTGTTCTGGTTGGTTTTACTTGTTGGAAGTTGACTGTTAATAGTTGGGCGCAGGTATAAAACTGCTTTCATTAGTTTTGTTGCTGTCTTGACGAATTCTTGCTGAAGGTTCTGATTGTATGCTTACTTGAAAGTTGTTAAGGATGTCTAGTCCCTCAGTACAATTGATGGATTTTAATACGGTAGCCATTTTATAAGAAAAGATGTTCACTAGCTTTTCAAAATCAGATACTTTGTGATACTTAGGGTAATCATACGTGGGTTGTGAAGGGTTTATGGTAATAGGGTTAGCTAGTTCATGGATGCGTTTGGGAATCGAGGCGGCCACTTTGCTATATCGAATTTTAGTTAGTCTTTTATTAATTTCGCGATTTACATCCAATGAATCCGGATTATGTCTTGTTAGAGGAGGAAATGCATTCTCATAGCCTTCTTCACCTAAGATTTCATAATAATTGTGGGAAGGATATTTCTCCATAACCTCTTTCCTGGACAGATTAGATATTGTCATAATCTCCCTAATTGATTTTTCAGAAGTCCACTTTTTGCATTTATGTGAATCTGATGATATGTGATCCTTAGAGTTACATAGAATACATTTGGGGGAGTTGCATTCGGGGACACATTTTGTAGTTTTCCTACAGTTTTCACATTTCTTTTCCTTGCAGTTATCCGGGCATGGAATCTGTTCACCACATATGAGACATCTTTTTAAGGATTTACACCTGTCAGCAATGTGACCTAGCCGGCCACAGTTTTTGCATTGTCGTAGTGGAGGAATATACAATTCCGCCTCCGCCATTGTACCACACATTCTAACTCTCTTGGGGATATTCTCGCCTATGAAGCCAATCTTCACTGTTTGAGTGGGTAAAAACATTACCTTATCCTCCTTAATTTCACGTCGCGTAAAGCGAAAAACAGAGAATACCTCAAAATCATTACATTCAAATTGTAGTTCTTCTCTTATCAACTCATCCGTGAAGGAGATAGGAACGTTTCTGATTACAATAAACTTAGCAATGAAACGGTCTGGGATGAATGCCTTAAGTTGGGCAGTCCTTAGAATTGGATTTGTGACAAAATTGTTTGCAGAAGAGAAATTATTAAACGAGAACCGGAATGTATTATAACCTACATTTTTACAGGTGTAGTTCCTTTTAAAACCGAATTTTTGTAGCTTTTCGAACATATACAATTCAGAGTTTTTCCTTCTGGAACTTATCTCGATATCTGAGGTCACCAATACGTGGAAAGGACCAGGATGATTTTCGGGGTAGAGATTGTTCACATTCATATTAGAACTCGATTTTGAATCCAACAATTTCTTACCTTCCTGTGAATTTCCATCAATACTTGAATCTTCTGCTAACCCACCTGACCGATCAGAACTGGTGGATGCATTGGGTTCCCCAAAGTTCCTTACCGCATCACCATGTATGTTCTTCAAAGCCTTGTTTTCCCCATCTTTTGTTAGCGCTTTACGTTTCGCTGATCCTTCCGGATCATCTTCCTCCATATCTACCAAGCACTTATTTGTTGCCTATAAACTATAACCTTGAAAATAATTTCCTTTTATTTCCAGAAAAAGAAACAACTGTGTTAACACACAGCAAGTAATTGTATTTGTGTTAAGAGTTTGGTAAAAGCCGTTATAAATTGTTGGTGTTAACAATAACAAAAAACTTCCACCAATAGCAAGAACTGTTTGTCACCGTGGTTGAATGCTTTTAGCTCTTTTGTTTTGGTAAACAGCTGTTTGTTTTTGATTTCAGTGTTACCACTTTATCGTTTTTTATGCTAAAATCGTTTGAATTTTTTGTTTATATGTTGAAATAAACAATTGGCAACACTAAACTTTCTTACAACATTCGAAAAACATATGAAAAATTGTCGTAGGAGTTGTATATAGCTTTTGCATAGAAAATACCAACAACATTGTTATGACTATTGTAGCAGCTGCTGACATACAACACATACAACGCTACAACATCGATTGTGAATTGAACAATTATATTATTTAAGTTAATGAAATTTTTATATTTCTGGATGTTGAAAAATTTTAGGAATTGATCTATGGACATAAAGCAGATTTTTTAGTTTACTCTGGCGAGAGAATACCACTTATAACCCCAAGCAACGCCGGGTACAAAAATCTAGTATATTAAATATTTTAGAAAAATCAAAAAGTACCAGTTGAAGTACGAAAAGGTATCAAAAGACCTCTTTTATTTAATTTCATGTTCCTAATACAAATGAAATGATTTTACCTAAGTTTACACATTTTGCGTTAAAAATCCCCTTTCAGAGCGACTTTTTTCAGAAAAATCCCCTTTTTGTGCATTTTTTGAAAATTTCCAACGGTAACATTGGTTGGATTACATGATATGAAATTGATATATAGATTTATCCAATTTACCATGTAACTCTAATACAATGGGGTCCATTTCATAGCGCATTTGCGCAGACTAAAAACATACATATTCCTATTTTATTTAATTTAGTAGTTGCTCAGACAGCATCGAGTACATATGCGTAGAGGATGTACTGAAAAAAATGAAACGTAGATTCGAAAACTTAAAATTATAATGTTTTGTTTTAATAACATGTGAATAAAATTTATACAGCTTCTAACTTGGCATTGGTAGTAGTGTTAATAGAAATGGTTAACATTATATAGAAGTGTGCTTGCTCCCGGCACGATTAAGAATTAGAATTATAGTTTACATAAAAATAAGCTTATATCTATGTACATATATAAAAATATAATAATAAAAAATATGAGTTATCCCCTATGCGTTCCACTGATAGTGGAAACATAAATTTTTGTCGATAAATTGTGATCACATGCAATTTCATTATCCAAATAACCTAGGGGAGAAAAATAATTGGTATTTGACCAATTAAGATTAGATTGTTCTTCAATAATATTTTTGATCAAAATATTATCATGAAGATGTAGTCTGTTAATGAAATTTTTCATTAATTGAAACGCGTAGCAAGCTAGAGGTTTAATGTTTGCCAAATCGTAAATAAATTTATTAGAAAAACGTTTGTTTTCTTCTTCAAAATGTTTATCTAAATAAAGTCTAATAATTTTTCTTTCTAATATTTAGAAATTTTTCATTATAGAGGGTGATAAAGAAAACCAGATTGGAAAGGCGTATAAAAGAATAGGTCTGATACTGGTCTTATATAGTAATAATTTAGTCTTATGTGATAAATATTTGTTTCTAAATAAACTACCAAAAGATCCCTTTACTCGATTGGCCTTATTGAGAAAAATTCTAGCATTTTCATTAAATTTAACCAATTTATTAAAGTAAACTCCCAAATAACGTAGGCTATTAACAAATGGAATTTCATTTCCATTTAAAAATAATTTAAGTTCTTTACTTTCCGGAACAACAAAGCTCTTGCATTTACCCGAAGCATTTCTTAGACAAAGTGCTTTACTTTTGGAAACATTAATGGATATTCCCCATTTTTTATAATAATTGTCCACAACATTCAAATGTAAAGAAACCGTTCTTAAAGTTTCTAATGGAGAGATACCATGTGCATATAAAAGAGAATCATCAGCATAAAAAATACTTTTTGAATTTAAAATAGTATGGGGAAAATCGTATATAATGATGTTATATAAATGTGGGGATAAAACAGAACCTTGAGGTACACCCCGATTAATATTTCCTAAATTTAAACAGTTATTTTGAAACTCAACACAAAATTTTTAAATATTAATCATTTTAAAAAGTATACCATTATGAAAAGCACTATCGAAGGCTTTTTCAATATCAAGAGATATTGACATCATTATGAAATTTAAGGAGAATGTCCTATTTTAAACCTGAATTGAAAATCAGGTATATATTGATTTTCCAACGAGATATCCATTTTTTCCTTGATTACTTTTTCAAAAAGTTTTCCAAGATTAGATAAAAATGAAATTGGTCGAATATTAGAAATGTCAGTATTGTCAGTTTTTTTTGGAATTGGACAAATTTTTGTAATTTTCCAAGCTTTTGGAAAGTAAGAATTATTAATACAGTTATTAAAAATAATAGTAAGAAATTTAAAAGCTTTTTGTGGAAATCTTTTAATAAGGAAATTTGAAATATTATCTAAACTTGATGATTTTTTATTATTACCACATTTTGTGTGTATTAATAAACTATCATATGTTGTCAATTTAATATCATTTTGAACATTCAAAGATGAGAAATTTTCATTATAATTATATATTCTATTTGGTAAATTGGAAAGATATCTCATAATGATTTTAGTAATTTCACAATTATTTGCAATTTTGGGAATTGATGTATATATGGATGTAAAATGATCTTTAAGGTGTATCAATTTTTGTTCATTATCAGTAATTTTAATACAGATAACAGATAATTCTGAAAGACTAAATTGTTTTTTATACCCTCCACCACTATCAGTGGTGATAGAGGGTATATATAACTTTGTCATTCCGTGTGTAACACCAAGAAATATTCATCTGAGACCCAACAAAGTATATATATTCCTTGACCTTATGAAATTCTGAGTCGATTTAGCTATGTCCGTCCGTCCGTCCGTCTGTCTGTCTGTCTGTATAAAACATTCTCACGTTAACACAAAGCAACAAAAATTAAAGAAATTCACCCAAAATATTTATTATTGTCCTAGGCAGTTTGGTATTGAAAATGAGCAAAATCGGTTCACACCGGGAAAAGTTATGAATCAAAATTTGAAACAACCTCGAAAAAAATAAGCATTTTTTACACATTCTGATGTAATTTTCTCGAAAACTATGAATGATAATTCCATGAAAATCAGCATACATTCGTTTCTACACAAGAGCGTGACTCCTACTGAAAATTGTCAGAATCGGTCCACAATTTTATATACCTCCCATACAAAAGTACATATTCCCGAAAAATGGGTTTTTTGTTAATAACTTCCGTCACAATGTCGAAATCTTTACAAAATCTGACAAATTCAAATCTTATGTCAATAGAATTCATTCAGAGAAAAAAATTTCTGGATCGGTCCATAATTGGACATAGCTCCCATACAAGGTCCCCTCCCGAAAATAACTTAAACGCAAATAATTCATTTCTAAATCAAGTTATCTATATAAAATTTGGTACAAGTATTGCCCTCACATACAGAAGTATTACTGTGATTTTTTTTTTCCATCGGTCCATAATTGGTCATAGCTCCCATACAAGGTCCCCTCCCGAAAATCACTTAAACGCGCATAACTCATTACTAACATAAGATATCCATATAAAATTTGGTACAAGTATTACTCATGTGCATAGAAATATTATTGTGAATTTTTTTTCCGATCGGTCCATTATTGGTCATAGCTCCCATACAAAGTCCCATCCCGAAAATCACTTAAACGCGCATAACTCATTACAAAATTAAAATATCCATATAAAATTTGGTACATATATTACTCTCACATACAGAAATATTACTGAGAAATTTTTTTCTGATCGGTCCATAATTGGTCATAGCTCCCATACAAGGTCCCCTCCCGAAAATTACTTAAACGCACATAACTCATTAACAAATTAAGATATCTATATAAAATTTGGTACAAGTATTGCTCATATGCACAAAAATATTACTGTGAAATTTTTTTCCGATCGGTTCATAATTGGTCATAGCTCCCACTCAAGGTCCCCTCCCGAAAATCACTTAAACGCACATAACTCATTACTACATTAAGATATCCACATAAAATTTGGTACAGGTATTGCTCACATATACAGAAATATTACTGTGAAATTTTTTTCCTATCGGTCCATCCTTGGTCATAGCTCCCATGTAGGTTCCCTCCCGAAAATCACATAAACGCACATAACTCATTACAAAATATTGATATCCATACATTTAGCACAAATATTGCTCTTATATACATAAATTACACTAAGAAATTGTTTTACGATCGGTCCATACTTGGTCATAGCTCTCATACTAGGCCCCCTCCAGAAAATTACTTAAATGTACAATATTCATTACCAAATAATGATATAGATACAGAATTTTGAAATTTTGTTTTTATATACACAATTGGTCATAGCTCCCATACAAGGTCCTCTTTCGAAAATATCTTAAATGCACATTACTCATTACCAAATAAAGCTATTGATACAAAAATTCTATTTCAAGATTTTGGCACGATAACACACATTACTTATTACTAAATTACGATATAGATACAAAATTTTACTGAAATATAGCTTTCATGTCCAGAAGTTTTGCTTAAATATTTTTTTACGATCGGTCTATAATTGGTCATATCTCCCATACTAGGTCCTGCCCCTAAAACCGTATTTAACTAGTTGCATTATCAATTTGTGTAGAACAAAATTATATATATGTATTTTGAAAATCCTTAAATCTTTCACACACATGCATACATGCAAATTAATAAAAATCGCCAAGCGTTGGTAATGTTCAATAAATCTTGGAATTGTAATAGATTTGAGCTGTTTGAATCTAGGGATTTTTCTATTTAAGATATGAGAAAACTTATTTCTACAAATATTTGATCAATTAGAAAAGTATTAATATAAAAGTAGCTGGTGGAGGGTATTTAAGA